TGTTCTGGAACAGTGTTGTAAATACAACTTAACCACTGATTTCTAGTCGTGTCCATTTTTGGAAGGCCAAACAAGCTTTCACAACTTTCACAACGAAACACAGCGTCACACACGGCGGTTTAGATTGAGCAGAGGCTGGGGGCTAACGGCCGGAACGGCCGGAGGGCTAGAGTGAGCAGAGGCGGCGGGCTTGAGAAAGGAGCGTCCGGCGGGCTTGCGGCAACCACATGTGACGACCCCGGGCTGGACTCCGCTTCGTCCACGGTTGGGTTGAACTGTTCTGGAACAGTGTTGTAAATACAACTTAACCACTGATTTCTAGTTTCGTCCTCTTTTGGAAGGCCAAACAAAGTAGTTTCGCTTTCACAACGAAATCACACAGCGCCTTCACGACATGGCGGCGGCGGCAACAATACTACAGTGAGAATAAAAGTTACGCCTTCTTTCTTTGTGTGATCATTTGGGTGGCGTTATGCAAATCTTCCCACATTGTGATGTAGATATGTTGGGGGCGTGTTAGAACGAGCCGTTTTAGATAACATATTTCAATTTCACAAAGAAATGTGCAGCATTTTGTTGGAGAAATAATAAAAGTACACCTTTTCATTTATAATTTTAAGTTAAAAGTTAAAAAGAAAAATTGAGAAAATTGTATTGTGAAATCAGTATCGTGAATCGTATCGTTGCCCCGAAGGGCTACCAGCGATTTTGAAATTTTGCGAGCCCTGTATATCATATCTTGTAAATATAACAAAGCAAAAATACATACAGGGATATTTTTTTTCTTTCATAACTTGAATTATAGTGGCATTCTAACGGCATTTTAATAGGCTTCATTACACAGCGAATGCTTCTGGACTCTCAAGACACGTTTTTGTTTTTTTGCAAAATGAGTGACATACTTGATAATGTCAGCTTTCATATCATTAAAACAACAATTACAATATCACAGACAATACATATCACACAAGAATGTTGTTTTTAATCTTTATACAAATAAACTGCATATTAAAAGATAGCAAATTTTCAAATACGAACTTCGCTGTTTTCTGATATGTGAGCACCAGGTCGCCCATAGTATTATAGTAGTATTTAATAATAGTATTTGGTATTTCTGTGTGTTCGTGATGGTGATTTCAGTGCAGGTTACATTGTTACACCATTAGATGACGACATTTGTGCCTACAGTTGAATCCCAGCAGATTACATTAATCCAAAATGTAGAATTTGTTCAAATTTAACACTGCTTGCTTTCTACAAGTTGTCACGTTATGCCTTTAAAATACATTACAAAAAAAATAAAAATTAAACGATGCATTTAATCGCAAACACAAACTGATGACATACTCTATGCTAAATCCAATGGTTAAACTCTCAGCACATAGAAAGAAGTTCTTAATAAAGATGGTATTATAGCACGAAAAGACACATTGCTACAATTAATTGTCTGGCATTGAAAATAAAGAGGTCCTAAACTGTTTGCTCTAGGAAGCATTTAACATTTTAATAAATGTTTTACTTTGTAATCCTAACAGAGTTTACTACTTTTGCAAGTGTACTCTTACTCAAGTTGATTATTGTAGGATCAGCGTTTATTATTGAGCCTCCCCTTATTCTTGTTAGTTGAGAACAAATAAGTAAACAAATCTTGCAGGATAAGTAACAAGACAGTGCTAACTAGGCAAAGCATGCAGGTCTAGATGCTATCATGACTGTTCTCCTAGAATCAAAACCAATCACCACAAGAAATACCTCGACAGATTGCCAGTGTGTAGATACTGAAGGAAGCGATAGTGTGAACACTCAATGTAAGGGTGTTCGTTGAAGAACGTGTGGCAGCAGTTTTTGGAATGCTTCCCCCCCTTTTCTGGGCTTTACTTGAGAAAATCAAGTCATGTTCAAATTCAACCGCTGCAAAACATTGAGATGTGTAGGGATTTTCCTTCTCTGTAATAGTTCACAATGGATCTTCAATATAATTTTTTATAAACATGCTACTTTAATCAGAAAGGTCACAGATGATTTCAAACAAATGATCAAGTACACATCTAAGATGCATAAAAAACAAGCAGACATTCATCAATCTTATCTATATAAAGTTTTGACACATCCTTGCTTTTAAACTATCCTGTGTTCTGGGGGCCTATTCCCTGACCAGCTTTCTTAAAGACTGCAGATCTGACTAAAAATAAGTTCCACTTCCTAAAAACACTAGCATTTTCTGACAGTTAAGAGCTCATTAAAAAGATGGGCACAAACAATTAAAAAAGCCATGGCCTATATATTAAAGTCAGATGGGACACAACTAAGGCTGTCAAAGATTAAAATAATCAGTTTTTAAAATAATAAGTTTTAAGGAATTCAGTTCATCTTTCTGGCTTACTGAACTTTCAAAATTGTATCACACGTTGCAGTGACAGTGTTCAGAAGGTTTACTTATAAACCATTTGCCAAAAAACATTTCATACTAAAACGGTTTTAGTAATGAAACTTGCAACAGCATTCTTGAACATTTTTTAGCCTATTCCAACCGATTTTTATAAGTCAATCAGAACAGAATGAAACTATTTTAGTATCAACTTGGGAAAATGTAGTTATTCTTTGCTAATTACAGTTTAATGGTGTTTAAATTTGATCACTTGAGACTTGTTTAATACATTGACAGCCCTAGCGTAGTGAGAACACATTTTGATACAGCTTGAAAACGGTTTTGTTTGGTTAAACGTGTCTTTGACTTTAGCTGATGTTAAAACATCACTTTCAACAAAATGAAGCACTGCTGTAATGCTACATATTGAGAGTATGGACATGACTACGGGGAAAAAATATATAGTCATTTTAACGAGTACAGGAGCTCAGTATCGGTATCGGTGCATCCCTACTAACAAGCTTTATTGATGGTTATAATTACAATTTCCACAATATAGGACTCATTTAGTGTTTCTATTGAGAGTCTAGTAAGTTTTGAGGAACTGGGTCATTTAAATGATATAATCAAACAAAGAAATCAATGTCAGTCTGAATGTTGTATTTGACAGACAAATCGGCAGATAAATCATGAACTGCCTTTGGTATATTAACAAATGTGTCTACAATCTGACATATATTTGAAGAATGCTTGATTTTATGTTTTTCAGAAAACATGAATGAACATACAGATGTTTTGGAGAAAACACTTAAGATGAATAATCTGTAACTCAGCTTTACAAGTTCATGACATGTTAATTTAAATGATCGTACTTATAAAAAGCAGTGCTTCAATTTTGCCACAAACTTCATTTTAACTTTCATTTTATGTTTGGCCTTTATGAGAAAACTTTCCAACGTGTGCCAAACCATTTTCACACCAACTTGCCATGTATATCTAACCATGATCCAACTAAATTTGGGAAAAGAGAATCACCATAACACTCAGTCTGGTCTAGAGATACTTCAAACACTGCGAACATGTTTGTACTTGATGTTTGAGAAAATGATTTCAATATAAACTATATACAAAGAGAACTTTTCACAACAGAGAGATATTTTCCTGTTTATTACTAATGTTTACCAGATTGTTAATGCAAGTTGGTGATCTTTCTGTGGCATGTGCTAGTTTATGCTGACTGATGTGGCTATGAACAGTAACAGTTTGGGTGTGGCATTACCAGATTAAAAGAAAATTGTAAGACTTATTTAGCTGGTGCTAGTTGATGATAAAAGAAACTCAATTAACTTTCAGTTTTCAGCTAATTTGAAAACAGAATGGTCATTCCATGTCAAATCAACTAAATTTCACCAAGTTCCCCGGCTCAAACTTTTTATTTTGGTAATATTTTTAAGAATAAAGACAAACATAAATAGTAATGAAAAGCAAAATATTAAATGGTGTGGATGTACATTTACTCAGCAATCCACAATTTTGTAGAGGGGGTCAAAATGACAATTTTGAAGCCAAATTACAGGGGGTAAAAATGACAACATTGATGGTACTGGTAAACTGGTAGGTGTTGATTGCTGTTGATTTGCACGCCTATAATTTAGTATACGTATTTTACTTTTAGATTTTGGTTCTAAAACTTTTCTTTTGGTATGTTTCTTTTTAAGGGCCTAAAATTCTTTTTCCAAAGTTTTCATGCAAGTAATTCAAGAAGTGTTAAAAACATCTCAATAGGTTCTGATTGTTCTCTCTCATTTCTCGTTCTCATTTTCAAGGCCCTATATGGCTCAATCCCATAGATATGGGGAATGTGGCTCCATGTCCAAATTGTTGAATTTTACCCATTTTCAATCGTCGAAATCCAAATGTGGGTCATTTTGCATTCAGCTGTTACTTATTGTATTTCAATGGGAATGTCTGAAGAATAAATAGATGCATATAAAATGTAGCTTGTTTAAAATCTAGTTGTTGTAACTTGAATAAAATATATTTTTACTTACCACTAAATTGGCTCTAAATCTCAGGTGAAAATTGTCATTCTGCCCCCTCTCCACCAAACAGTGGATTCACTCAAAATACACAACCATGACATTTAATATTTTGGCTTTCTTCTTCATTTACGTATTTCTTTCACCAGTAAAAAATTATCAATATAATTTTTTTTCTTAGACAGGACCTCTTGTTGAGTTGACACGGAATGACCCAAAAGGCATTTATTCAAGACAATCTAATAAACAATATATGTCATTAAACACACAAAAACACAAAGCAACATGCTTTTAAGGTTACATACAAAACTACTTAAAACAAATGCACAATTACTCAACCATCCACCCATCTTGGTACTCACATGAGTACCAGCATTCTCCAAAAAGAGAGCAAAGACCTGTATTTACTTCAAAAAATGTCTCATACATTTACTTGATTTAAAGCGAAATAAAATTGAATTTCTAAGAGCTCTTTAGTAATCTTGCATCTTAACATACTGGCTAGTCAAGACAAGAGTGATTTCATTTAACAGAAGGGGAGTTACATACAAAACTACTTAAAACAAATGCACAATTACTCAACCATCCACCCATCTTGGTACTCACATGAGTACCAGCATTCTCCAAAAAGAGAGCAAAGACCTGTATTTACTTCAAAAAATGTCTCATACATTTACTTGATTTAAAGCGAAATAAAATTGAATTTCTAAGAGCTCTTTAGTAATCTTGCATCTTGCATCTCAACATACTGGCTAGTCAAGACAAGAGTGATTTCATTTAACAGAAGGGGGAAAAAAATTATTAATGGATGCAGGGCTTATAAATAAGGACTGCTTGATCGCCCTGGGCCAGCACAAAAGACACTCAGGACAGGTGACTGATAACTGCTGGGTTGTCACAAAATTTTATAATTTGCACTTGTTTTTAAGCCTTGCCCATTTTTAACATTCAAGCGATTTTAAACCATTTTAGCACAAGAAGACACTGAATTATGTACTCATGCACAGTTTTCTGCACACACCCGGGGCACAGAGACAGAGAGATGCAACCATGTAAACACCAATTTGTGTTTTGCATCTTCTTGCACTTAAACACACAAATACATACAAAATTATGTCAAAACACCCATCTTGGGAAAGATATCATTATATTGAATCTGTGCCTAACCTGCTGCTGTCTGTGTCAATAATGTTAATCAAACAAAAGACAAAAAGAAAATCACTCACTGCTCTTGACTAAATGACTTTTGTAGCTTTAACAAGGATTAATCTATATTTAATTTATAAAGTCAAGACTATGCAATGATTTTACATTTGATTATTCAATTTCTCTAGCTGAATACTATTGTTGGACCTACCTGAAAAACTTTATTATAAAGCACTGTTTATTCAGTTTATACTTTTGTTCTTTTGTATTTATTTGTGCTAATTTGTTTATTCATTCCCGTTTTATTATTCAGTGTTCACTTGTCTTTAATAATGTTTTAACTTTATATCACCTAGGCTGGTAGTTTTTGCTGTGGTATTGAAATGGGAATCTAGAATTGTGAAATTAAACTGGTATCTAAAATGTTAGTGTCACAATAAGATTATTTAGTAGCATAGAAGGTTACACAGATCAAAAACAATGAAAACAATTATTTGTTAGTTTTGACTGCTTTTATTGTCCTCATTTGTAAGTTGCTTTGGATAAAAGCGTCTGCTAAATGACTAAATGTAAATGTAACAATAACTTTTTCTCTTTTTTTTGTGTTTTTATTTTAAATTTTAACCACAGAGTGAACAGGCCAGTAGAAATAAAGTCTTTAACGTTGAGCCCTGGGATGTTTTATTTCTCATATAGAATATTTTCAAAATGCAATTCACGTTCTATGCCAATTTTTTTTTAGAGACCTCAGATCTGCTGGGGGGGAAAAAATGAGGAAATGTGCATTTGTTTTGTTTGAATTTCATCTTAACCTCATATGGAACCACTAAACACAAAATTCACCTTTAAGCTAAATGATGACAACAGGTTTAGATAAACACGTTCATTAGATGAAAAAAAAACTCCACTAAAAGAGCTCTGCTAGCCTACACAGAGCAGGACATTTAAAGTGATAGTTCACCCAAAAATAAAAATTTCACACTCTTTACATTTGAATAACGTTTATATGTGAATAAAAGCATAAATTTACGTCTTCGTTTACTAAATCTGTATCTGTTTATATGTGAATAAAAGCCTAAATTAAACCTCTCCATTCAAATGGATTACGTCTTTTTGATTCGTCAAAGACTACACAACCAAAACTTTTAAATGGATGGACAAAAATGCTAAAAGAATATTAATATCTTAATATCCATATCTTCATTTGTACTTCAAAGATGAACAGAAGTCTAGAACTTTGGAACGACTTAAGGATGGAGTATCACTTTAACGGAGTAAATTAAATTTAAGTAATTGTACACTACAATTTGCAGTTGTTATTAGAAGAACTGAAATGTGTTTTGAAACATTTTTTGTTGTTTTACATTTATTCTGCAAGTACTAAAATTATTATTAGTATAGTGCCTGTGCTACAGGGGTGATAGAATTACCAACTGTATGTAAAAATTCTTGCATTAATATTGTCATTTACATTCTTCAGACCGTGGCATAAAGTCAAATGACCTTTCAGGACTAATGTTCCTGTGGCTCAGTGGTAGAGCATTGCGTTAGCAGCGCAAAGGTTGTGGGTTCAATTCCCAGGGAACACACATACTAATAAAAAATGTACAGCCTGAATGCACTGTAAATCGCTTTGGATAAAAGCATCTGCTAAATTTAATTTAATTTAAATTAACAACACATTTTCCAAGGACTTAAAGCTATTCTGAGCCACAACAGATCTGAATGTAAACTATGTATCAAGGCTTTCTAGTTGTATTCCATCTGGTTTCATGAGATTGTCAATCAAAATGAAGGCTTTATGGCAGAGCTTTTTTATTTGTGGAGATTCTCTTTCACACTGTGATGTCACAAAGTCACATAATAATGCATTTTGAAAAAATAACTAAAACAACAAAAACAGTAAGACAGTGACTTACTCCGGTTTGGCTCCCTGGATCAACAAGACATTAATGCACTTCATGTTACCGGCCCGTGCTGCTTTGTGAATGGGTGCTTCACCCACATAATCCTGAAACCGTATAGAAAAATGCACATTTTAATAGGCCTTCACAACATCACTAACAGTTCTTCACACTAAAAATGCTGACAACATTCTAGACATCAATTCTTTAATTTATCAAAATTTTTAACAACCATCAGCATGTGCGAATTTATAAAAGCTATGTCTGCATCTCTGGTTGGTATCAATCTGAAGGAAGGAATCTAAAAAAACACTCCTAGTGTGAGTCATAATGAAGACTTTGAACTCTTCACCCTAACACAACAGCTCCCCCTAAAGGGTGTAAACTGAAGCACAAAATAACCCAGATAATACCACAAAAAGTAGGTCAAAGCACACAATTACTGCAGAGGCAGTAATACAACAGGGATATCTCTCATTCACTTCCTCTCAAACCGAAGCAATAATACAGAATGCACTTGCTTGTTAGCATTATTCCCCTTATCTATGTCTGCATCTCTGGTTGGTATCAATCTGAAGGAAGGAATCTAAAAAAACACTCCTAGTGTGAGTCATAATGAAGACTTTGAACTCTTCACCCTAACACAACAGCTCCCCCTAAAGGGTGTAAACTGAAGCACAAAATAACCCAGATAATACCACAAAAAGTAGGTCAAAGCACACAATTACTGCAGAGGCAGTAATACAACAGGGATATCTCTCATTCACTTCCTCTCAAACCGAAGCAATAATACAGAATGAACTTGCTTGTTAGCATTATTCCCCTTAGTGTCTGTGCATGTTTGTGTTTGAGTGAACATATTTGATGTTGGCCATTTCTAATCAACAAAAATTCAAGTAATTGCAAGTCGAGCAACCTGATTAGGGATGCCTGACTGATTGGCTGCTTACTGAAATGGGCCGATGAGAATAATGACTTTCTACAGAGTACTCTCAACTTGGCTGATCACATTTTGTTGATGTACAACACTTAACCCTACACTTTAAGACTTCAGAATCACTTTCAGCAAAAAGTTTGGAGAAATAATGTGTTAAAAATTTAGCTTGGGAAACATGGACAAAGGGTGTAAGACAACAGACCTAATCCAACAGTTAATAAAAGGCACATTCTGATGGGTTTGGGAACGATTGCTTTGATGGCAATGGCATCTTTTTTTGGCATATTTTTAGAAAATTACTCCAGTTTCTCAAAGTGAAGAGTAAAACTGTACAAAGCATTATAAGAGTTAGTTTTGGTCCTCAAGTACAACTGGTCAAGCAAGAGAACTGAGATTTAGCCCAACAGTATTAGGACTTTTCATTCTGTCACTTCAATTGTCTTCTTGTCTTCATCTGTTATTAAGGGTAAATATCCTCCAGTGCCCTTTGGGCTAAATCACAGACTACAGTGCTCAACCCTTGAGGACAGACGTCACCATTCAAAGATCTGTCCATCACAGACAGGATCATCCCTGGCAATAGGATCAGTTAGGCAGAGATTTGTGCACCAGGACATCGGAGAGAGAATAGAGAATTGAAGGAAGTGGAAGCAGGGATGATAAGTTAGGGCAAATGATAAGACTTTGAGTCACTTCCTGAAAGATAAATTGCATTAAAGGGCTCATAGATTAATTACCTGACTCAAGAAGAAGACAGTAACATATGCCATGCCATGGTGAAATAAAAGGCCTTTAATGCTGAACATTTCACTTCATTATTGAGGGACTGTGCTCTTGCAAAAAATCAGAGTCACAAGGCTGTTATCACCCCTATAAATAATACATTCTCAACTAAATGACCTTATAAAGCCTACTGTATCATATTTGATGCACAGACCTATAATTAACCAACATGATCAAAACTTTGCTGAAAAAACCTGTTGCACATAATCTACTACATGATGTGTCATCTGATTGATAGTTTATTATTTTTTAGCAAGTAGAAGGCCTGTTAGTATAATTGTACAAACGTCTACCTTCAGGTTGTGGTTCATGTGTCTTTCTGCTGTGAAATCATTACAGATTTTAATAAAGTAAACTTTTTTTATATTGGTTATTAATATTTCAAGATGAACACTTACTAGACTGAAACAACGTTTTTTCCATAGATATTTTTTTATTATGTTTATCCATCAGGCTCTTGAGGAGTTTTTGTCATTCTGTCAATCATCATTGTATTGCACTGCATTGTATGCTTTGAAACTACAGAGCTTTGATCATAAAACTAAGCATTTAATATATTAAGACATATTGGAGATACAGAGTGTCAACTGATATTTATATTATTTTATGCAAGTAGTCTGCTATACTGTTATCAAGAGCTCATTGATTTGCATTACAAGCTATCAAAATGTAATAAATGATCAGTATCTGCAGCAAATTGCATATTTTTGCTCAGTTTGGGCCTCTGAATAAAACCGAGCTGTTTTTTCTCCACATTTTCTCTACCTCATATTATGTGCCATAAAAGCCTGATATGACTAATATGATACTTAACAAAAAAACACATGAAAACTGTTGTTGATTTTTTTTCTAAAGGTTCAGTAAACTGTTCCATTTAAGAAATTCAGATTAATTACCTGACTCAAGAAGAAGACAGTAACATATGCCATGCCATGGTGAAATAAAAGGCCTTTAATGCTGAACATTTCACTTCATTATTGAGGGACTGTGCTCTTGCAAAAAATCAGAGTCACAAGGCTGTTATCACCCCTATAAATAATACATTCTCAACTAAATGACCTTATAAAGCCTACTGTATCATATTTGATGCACAGACCTATAATTAACCAACATGATCAAAACTTTGCTGAAAAAACCTGTTGCACATAATCTACTACATTTATTATGTTTATCCATCAGGCTCTTGAGGAGTTTTTGTCATTCTGTCAATCATCATTGTATTGCACTGCATTGTATGCTTTGAAACTACAGAGCTTTGATCATAAAACTAAGCATTTAATATATTAAGACATATTGGAGATACAGAGTGTCAACTGATATTTATATTATTTTATGCAAGTAGTCTGCTATACTGTTATCAAGAGCTCATTGATTTGCATTACAAGCTATCAAAATGTAATAAATGATCAGTATCTGCAGCAAATTGCATATTTTTGCTCAGTTTGGGCCTCTGAATAAAACCGAGCTGTTTTTTCTCCACATTTTCTCTACCTCATATTATGTGCCATAAAAGCCTGATATGACTAATATGATACTTAACAAAAAAACACATGAAAACTGTTGTTGATTTTTTTTCTAAAGGTTCAGTAAACTGTTCCATTTAAGAAATTCAATTTTTCTGATTATTAATTCATGTCAGGTTTTAGAAGGTCAATTAAGTCATAAGACATCACAAGTCATATAACATTATCAAGTTCTGTATGTGGACCCACCTGTCTGTTTATTTCAGCCCCTGTGTGTAAGAGCCACAACAGGCATTCTGGATGTCCTCCAAATGCAGCAATGTGAGCCGGGGTCTGGGCAAACCGTGTGGTCAATGAATTCACTTCACATCCCACCTGCACCAGCCTCATAACACACTCCAGCTGTTTTATGACAAAGAGAAAAATAAAATCAACAAACTAGTGACATGATTTTCCACCAGTGCCTGGTTTCTCCCCCTATGAAAGTGTGAAATCATGTTCATCAAAACACACAACCATCAATTATTCCAGAACAACTTAGGTGATAAGGAGCAAGTACTTCAGCTCAAGCTGTGGTTTACAGCAGCAGACTTCACACACAATGGTGAAATCGAATAGTTTGAGACAGACTACCAATCTCTTTGACTTGCTATTTGAGACTCATGTTCCCCGCTCTACTGTCAGGGACCAGCAGCTGTGCTGCATTTTCAATATGAAACACCATGGGGTAATTCATTACCCTGTTCTCTGACATGAAACAGACTCTGGAAAATGCACCAATTCTCTGAAACACTTTCAAATTCTACCACCTTTGTTTGTAGGGCTGGACAAAAAAAATTAGATTTTCCAGATTAATCGTTTTTTTAAATGACGTCGATTCGATATCGATTCTCAAAAGCCGCAAATCGATCTTTTCCGGTATTTATTTCAGCACACATTTAAAGGTGCTGTATGTAAGTTTTTGACTCTACTAAAGCATAAAAAGTACAGTATGTGGAAAATAATGTGTTTTTTTTACTTTAAACCGCATAAACACATTTCATTACACCAAATACACCAAATAATGTTCTTTTTAGCAGCATCATATGACCCCTTTAAAGTTCGTAAGTGCAGCGCTGCTTTGTTTACAGCGGAAACCAAGGAAACGCTTTAAGCGCCCTGCTGGCAGAGAGTGACCGCTGTTTCATGCAGGTATTTTTATGTATCGTTTCACAAAACTGAAGTCAAACCATTCTGTTTTTGCTTCAAATTTCGAAATTAAATTGTGAATCGAATCGTGAAATCAAAATCGTGAATCGAATCGAATCGTGAGTTGAGTGAATCGTTACATCCCTAGTCAGTTATTCTCCTTTGAAAATGTGCGTTCCGGGCCGGAATGTCGGTCTCTGTTTTGGTTTGTGAAACCCGCCCACTGCCAGTTTACCCAATCGTATTTCGGGCACCCCGGGTTGCTAGTTGGCGAAAACACAGTATATTTCATTTCATTCATCGTCAAGTGATTTCTTTCTATTAATTCACCATTTGTAAACTGATGTTTACTGTTCATTTTTTAAAAATATCAATAGCATTTATATTAAAACTATATTCACTGAATGTAATCAAAAAATCGAGAATCGAATCGAGAGCTTGCGAATCGAAATCGAATCGGGACATCTGAATCGATACTCAGCCCTATTTGAATGGCTGTTTGAAATTGCTTCATGGCCAAAACATTTCTGTAAAATGTGCGCAATCAGCAGATGTTAGGAGCAGAAACACGATGCGCTCGTTGTATGCGTGTACACATGGTTGCATTTTTACCAGATTATAAAATGCGTAAAGGAGTCAAAAAGTGACAGGAATGAAGTGTAGTGAAATGTAGAATGGTCAAGACAATGAAACATACTAATAAAACATAGAAATGTACTAAAACTGAGTAATTTGAACCGATGACAAATGTGTTCAAGTGTGGAAAACATGCCACATTTCACAGGAGCAGTTCTTTGCTCAGAGTTTCTCTGGAAACTTCCATTAGGAATAATGCTAAAAATAGTTACAAGCCACTGAAGCTTTTCCATTTTTCCATAATGAATGCCGGCATTGAGACATAATGAGGTAATGTGTTTGAAATAACATCAATAGTAATTGTTCACACAAGACACAAAAAATTACATTTTCATCATTGAATGGGCACAGAAGTACAAACTTTCTAACTTCAACAAAACTGTCAATAATCTTGTGTTAAATAAAATTACACAAACATGATCATCAAATGTGTATAATTTAACAAGAAGCATGACATGCTGTCAACAGTATGTCAAACCACTCTGCAGTAAAAGTTGCTGATAAACTCATTGATGTTTACATTCATTTCTAAACTAGAATTTAAACGATCTAATGAAACTTTAGGCACAATATCAAGCATTTGTATAAAGGTCTTCGCTTATGTAACTTTCACAATTAACTTATACCTTTCAAAACCGTTTTTTAGAGTTTTTGTCTGCCTTTTTTCCGGAAAGACGTTTTATCAGTCTGTATGTTTTAAACAATCCATTGAACACGATGTACTTCAGTCCCCCAAAGCCTCGTTTTCATTCCTGTCAAATGTTAAATATGGTGCTACCCTGACTAACAGACAGCAATGCAACACCACCAAAAGTTTTAACAAGAGGAAGGTTTGGATTTTAAATATCTTGGTTTTGGCGCGAGGTGTTTTATTGGTCTTCGCCCAGCCAATGAATGAACCGCTGCGTGCTGGCGCCTGATGTTACTGCTTCGCTGGCTGCGGTCCATGCAACTTGATTTTTCCAAGTAATGTGATTCAGAAACAAAACAGCAATCAGTAACGTCCATACTCGGCTTAATTTCTTTTATCCAACTTAACTTCCAAGGTTTATCCGTTACTACATACACGTTAAACAATCAAGAATGGATAAGGTAGACGACATGTGTGCCACTGACGCTGTAGTCTGCTCATCTCAGACAGAAATCATAATGCTTTCAGTTCAAACATGTATTAAGTGATTAATCTCTGCTCTTACCCAGCATGCGAGTTCGCACGCAGCCGCTGAGAATATGACCTGTTTTCTGCCGATGGCCTTATCGTCTCTAGGCGATATGGCAACCCATTTCATATTGATGGGATATTTGAGTTTTCTTTGCATGTGCACACGCTGTAAGTTCAGTTCTTGATGACAGCACGCCTAACTAATGGTGTTACGCGCTCGTTATGGGCACATACACGCCTCTATCTCCGGAAGAGAAAGAACTGAGGAATAAAGCATAAATCTGTGCAAATAATGTACTTCTATTACCTTCCCGAAGTGTGCTGCCCAGTGAATAGGGGTCCAGCCGTAAAACGAGTCCTCGGCAGCCAGGTCCGCCTGGTTAGAGGAGCGCTGGAGCAGAGACCACAGCGCGCCGACGTCTCCATCCCTGCACGCGCGATGAAGCGGGTAACGCAGGCTCAGCACCTCGTCGTTGGAGAAACCGGGCTCCGGTCCTACAGACATGGTCCAACAGTTCTGCTGCGTCGCGGAAAACACAAATTATTTGGCTTATGAACGCCCCAGGGTTGAGCAAGGCGTTACGTGCTCAGATAACACCAACCACAAACACAAAGAAGGCAGTGAGACTGAACACTGAGAGAGAGCGCTCACTCTCTTGAAAGTGTAACTTGAGTGGCTATTTGGAAATCCCGGACTGGACTACTTCTGGAGCTCTGGAGCAGGTTTAGCCTAGGGAACGTAATGACGTACGGAAAATGGATTTTCACCAGACGGGATCAGGAACTCTACAGAACTATCAGGCCAGTCCATGTTTTAAATCACATATGGCTTAATGTATTTAAAATATTAAAGTCATCTATCTATCTATCTATCTATCTATCTATCTATGCTTTTACCCAGTAGAATTCTTGTAGAATTTATTTCAGAACGAATTCTGGATATGAACAGAATGTTAAGTCTGTTATCTTTTATCTTTGCTTTTTTAAAAATTGTATTATTGTCTTTACTGTTGATTTGGGGGATGGGTGACAAGTAGATGACTTGTTATGCGCTGAACAGTAGAGGGCGCTAAAGACGTCGTTTATAAACATTCTAATAGGTCAGAGGCCGTTCGTACAACGTTATCAAATTTGCACTTTTCGAAATGAAAACAACCAATACAGCTAATGTTTCATCTGTGTCATCTGCAGGAGAGGTAACTTTACTATTTTCGCGGATTTCAAGTTTGTTGTTGAGAAGCTGAAGTTGATGAAAGAGTTTGTGCAAGTGTTTAGCAAGCTAATTAGCTAATTAATTATTTGTTTGATATGTATTTACTTCTGTAAACATAAAGAGACTTTCCAGATAGATGTTGTCGTCACAAAAGTATTTTAATCGCTTTCCAAGACCAACGATATAAAGTAATATCAAAACGATCGCAAGCGCCAGAATTACCACAAGATGTCACTGTTCAACTGTTAACGCACGTTCAATAATACAAAATTCATTTCAGGAGAAGTTTGGTACTCTTCTTGTGGTCATACCGACACTGTAACGTTTGTTTACCGCTAACAGTAAACAAAAATCCTGTGTGTTTAAAGGATGTAGGATCAGACTGCTTTGTTCGAGTCAGAAAGCGAGACTTGGAGAAACTGGAGGCAGAAGTCAGGACACTACGAGAGCTTATGCCAAAAGTAATCAATAGTGACTGTATTGATACTATCCATAAAGGACGGTGTCTGGACGCATGTAAGTAAAAACTCTTTCAGTAGCAGTGGTCAGTTATGATACACATGTATAGTAAATTAACATATGCAAAGGACGTTGTTCCAACAGGGTTTAGCAAAATTCAGAATTGAAGCTTAAGTTGGAATGTGAATTAAATTGGCCACACCTCACAAGAAGTTGAATTTGAATAACAAGAAAATAAATTTACTGAATTGCAATTCGAAAGAAACCAACCCAGGTAATGCATCCAGAAAAAATAAAGCCTTCTTCCACTCTGGTTCACAAAAGCTACTTATACATATGTCACTTACACTATATAAACAATGCTTTAAGCCAACATTCAAAGTTTGTCTTGGCAAACTTTATTTAGTACAAATTACACCTATATGAATTTCTTTTAATTTCATTCATTTCTGCTACCTTATGTTTAAATTCAGGGTTTTTTTTAAATTAAGCATCACGTTTCCTAGATCAGTTCAAATTTACATTTACATTTAGTCATTTAGCAGACGCCTTTATCCAAAGCGACTTACAAATTAGGACAATGGAAGGAATCAAAATCAACAAAAGAGCAATGATACGCAAGTGCTATGACAAGTCTCAGTTAGCCTAATTCAGTACAAGTAGCAAGGTTTTTTTTAAATTATATAATACATTATTGCCTTGAATTTTATGCGAGCAGCTATTGGTAGCCAGTGCAAATTGATGAACAGAGGTGTGACGTGCATTCTTTTCGGCTCATTAAAATGTAATCTTGCTGCCACGTTCTGGATTAATTGTAAAGGTTTGATAGAACTGGCTGGAAGACCTGCCAAGAGAGCATTGCAATAGTCCAGCCTGGACAGAACAAGAGCTTGAACAAGGAGTTGTGAAGCATGTTCCGAAAGAAATGGCCTGATCTTCTTTAAAATCTGACCTTCTTCTGAAATTTAGTGCTAATTGAGAAAATACAGTCTCAATTCAATTCTGAATAGTGCACAACCTTGTTTTACAGCATTTATAACAATACTAAATGTTAATTCTGACAGTTGTTTTAATAAAAGTTTCTTTATTGTTATATAGTTAAAGAGCGCAGTGACCGTGAGCAGCAGCAACAGAGAGAGGATTGTCTGCACATCCGCTCCAGACTAGATGTTGCTCTGAGCGAGTGTCAGAGAGAGAGACAGGTACTAAAATAGAGAGGAGAGAATGAGAAACTGAAGGGCCCACACTGAAAAGTTTATAGGAAAGCGTCTGCACAAATAAGTTTTGCATTAATGTACTGTATGTCTGTTAGTGAGGTGGTTCTCAACCAGAGGTCTGGGACCTACTAGAAGGCCTCACCACAAAAATGATGATTGTAAATTTTTCTAGTTATGTCATGCTCTTTTTTTCTTTTTCTTTTTTTTTTTTACTATTTCATTCATTCATTCATTCACTTTATTTATAGGGCACTTTACAACTGCACCTTCAGACCAAAGTGCTGTACAATCAAAAAAAAAAAACACTTCATTAAAACACACGACTTAAAACAACACAGATCCTACTAACAACAAAGACTAGCCCACCCTCTCAAAGGTTAAAGACAAGAAGTAGTTTTTGACTTCAACTTTAAAAACATTCAAAGATGAGACTTCTCTAAGTTCCTGAGGAAGACTATTCCAGAGCTTCGGCCCCGCAACAGCAAAGGCCTGATCCCCTTTTAACTTTAAATAGAAGGTGTGGCTGACTCTTAACTTTTATAAAGAATATCTCTTTGGATTTGAGTGCTTGACGAACAGCAACGAGCTCAGACACGTAAGCAGGGGCCAACCCATGCACTGCTTTAAAAACATACAGAAGAGTTTTATATTTTATCCTGTAGTTCACTGGTAGCCACTTGAGAGAAGCTAAAATGGGAGAGATATGATGACTTTTCTTAGCACCCACTAGCAGCCTAGGTGCTGCATTCTGAACTAATTGTAAGCGTGAGCTAGTGGTCTGACAGGCCTCCACATACAACACATTGCAATAATCCAAACGAGACAAAACAAAGGCATTAATAACCTTCTCTAAGTCTTTAGACTTAGTCTTTACATATCTAAACATCCTCTGGCAGGGCCAAAAAACATAATCTCAGTTTTACTCTGGTTCAGCTGAAGCAGATTTTGAAATTCTGAAGCAGATTTGTGAGTAAAAAAAAAATCATTTAAATTCATTGGTAATAAAAAGTGTAAAGCCTGAAGAACATTGAACTAATGAAACGTAATTAAAGGAACAGGTCACTCAAAGATGAAAATGTAATTTAATTATTCATTATCCTGGGAGACCTTTGAATATTATTCTTGACAATGTGGAGTCGTGGGTTCAAAAAGGTTGAGGACCACTAGTGTGTTGGTGTGAGAGAGAAGGAGAAATCTCTTCCCCAAATAGGTACGTTATGGTTGTCTAGTTATTCATGTGTATATGTACTGTATGTATCTCCTCACATACATTTGTAGGAGAAGTTGGTTTTAAAGCAGCAGTTATGCGAGTGCAGAGAGGAGCTGCAGCAGCAGAAAGCATTTTGTACTGAGCTGGGCACTGCATCTTGCACCCTGCTCTGGAGTGCGTCCCAAAGGGAGGAAGCAATCAAAGACATACTGGCTGCTGTGAGTTTGTACCATTTTGGGAGTGGCCAGGTTGTTTAGTAAGTGGGAGGACATGAATTTTGCTTTACCTCAACCAGGTAAGAAAACTCTTCATACACTTGTGCATCCACAGGGTAAACTGGAGCCCTTCCTGAGCATTGCAGGTCAAACCTTGGAGACTTTCATCAAGTTTCTGAATGACGAGGCAAAGCCACAACAGAGTTGCAACTCAAAAGAGCATCATTTAGTTCTGGCTCTGGCTGGCGTTGTTACAAGTGAGGGCACGGAGTTTGTTTTTACTACTAGTTCAATCTTACGGTCATAACTTATTTATACTCTATATTACCATCTCAAGAACAAAAGAAATTGTCATTTCATCTGTTCATTGGTTTTAGATATAGCTGCTGTGTCTTGTGGACGGGACTTCTTATCCTCTTCTGCCCACATCCTGTTGAATACTTTGTTGCAGCTGCTGTATCTAATGAAACCAGGAGTGTTTCCGAAACTCAAAGTGTATGTCACAACTTTAAAATACACATCCAAATATTACTATTTATGAATGTACAACATTTTTTTGCACACACATATATGTAAAAAATTTTGAAAATAATGATCACACATGCAGATATATGTACATACTGTATATGGCATTTCCATATATGAAATATATTGTCATATGAAGTAACAAAAAAACTGTTAGAAACTAAAACAATTTCATATATTAACATATACTGTATAACTAGCACATACAAATATGTCTGTTTTATACATTTTTGGATATAAATGTCTTATAGATGTATATCCGTACATCCTAAAACCCCTCAATGCATGTTGATATTATATAAGTAAATCTAAAAGATAGACATGTATTAGACCTGTTAAAAATGTATTACAAAACATATAAATATATAAATATGTTGTTGAAAAAAACAAATATCATACATACACTACCGGTCAAAAGTTTGGGATCAGAACGATTTGTAATGTTTTTTACAAGAGTTTCTTATGCTCATCAAGGCTGCATTTATTTGATCAAAAATACAGGAAAAAATGTAATATTGTGAAATATTATTATGATGTAAAATAGTTTTTTTCTATTTTAATATACATTAAAATCTAATTTATTGTTCAGTCTTCTTCTCTCAGTAGAGTAGTCAGGAGCAGAACGATGTGATCGCTCGGCTCCGAAGCGAAAAGCTGAATATGCGCTGCATCTGTTGCCTACTTATACTCACGCTGTGATCAGCGGGAGCTGGATGGAATAATCGCATGCCAATGTGCATTGGCTCGTTTAGTTTACACTCTAAGTGGATTGGTCTCTCTAAG